CCATTTAATCAGATTAATTTTTCAAAAGGGAACTTTTCCTCTACTCTTCATATATTAAAATTTGATTGTGAACTATCATAAATGAAAATTATTCTATTTTGCAGTAGTTTATCTAACTGATCTTAAGAACTTCCAGAAGCTCTAGCAGCTCTAAGATATTTTTCGCAATTAAGTATTGTTACGAGACTACCATTAAATCATGTATATGAGATGTATTCACGCTATTTCGTTTAAGGTGATAAAGGACTGCTCTAAGATAGATATTGATCGGGCATATTAAATACTTTGCTTTCTGAAGTCTAATATCTTGAGTTATACAAGTATTTATCCCAAAATGAGATGTATTAGAATCAATATTAACTAGTGAAAAATTATTTATAATGCATAAAATTATGTTGAACCTTCATAATATTGCTAAATATTGTATTCTAATTCTATAACTTTCTTTGCTAAATAGATATGAGTTGAATACACATCTAAGAGTATGATGGAAATAAATGTATAAATTCCTGTCACGTTTGTCGGAACTATATAAAATGTATAATTAGAATGTATATATCATAGATTATCTTATTAATAGAAAAAACTGTCTTTAATATTTTAGCAATTTTTTTATATACCTCACGTAGGTCATTCACAATCACTTGGCAATTTTAAAGTAAGGAACGAACTCCTGTTTTAGGGAAAATATTGTGGATCCATAATTTAAAAGAAACTTTCTGTTTCTTTCTTCAAAAGTGATATTTCGCATAGTCTTTATTTAACAATATTGGATAAATTTGTTGAAATTTTATTTCTTATCTGCTACATTTTCTTTATTTGTGAAATGTAATTTGCAGATCAACTAGTTTTAATGTATGATTAGATGTATCGTATATGATGTTTTCTAGCAGCCAGTTAAGTTTTTTTCCTATAGATATAAATTTTTAAAATGAATTCTTGGGAGGCAATTACACAAACATCTAATGCCAGAGAAGTTGCGATCGTATATCTATTTCCCCATTTAAATACATAAATAATCTTAAAGCATTCTAAAAATAGGGCAGCTAGTTAGTTATAGTGAATAGTTGAAACCATAACATGACATGTTTGGTTTCAGCCTTAGGGGAAAATATAAAGAAATCACAACTATAGACTAAACAATTTGATGACTTGCTCAGTTTAGGTCTATTTTTTAACAAATTGATAACTAGAAGTATGGATTTTAGGCCAGAAGTGGCAAGTCTGGTTACAAAGATTTAATTTGATCTTGACAATATCGAGAGCTCGCATTCTCATTCGCAGAAATTAATACTAAATTTATATACTGGATGGATTAGAGGGCCATCATATCAAAATCACCTGTACCCCAAAATAATTCATATACCATTATTATTCCACAGCCCAGATTATCCATTACAGTAATTCGAAAGAAATTTTAATACACTGCTATTAATAATTTTTTTAGAATCTATTAATATGTCTTATATTCAGTTTGATTTTGAATAAAAAGTATGAAAAGAATATTTGCCCTTACCTTCCGTTTCCATTTGGCGGAAAAAGTGCGAATAACTTCCAGCGCTCATAACGCTTACACGATCTATGCTTGTTTGTGAGACACTGCTACCTTGACGGCGCCGCCTTAGAGGCATTGGTGGAGCCAAATGTTGCATACCATTTGACTCAGCTCCAGCCAAGCCACTTGGACTTGTTGCGGATAATGTGGAGGATTGAGGCCTGCAGCGACTCTGCTGTGGTGAAGGCGAAGGTGAATGAGAAGGAGATGGCAGTGGTGAAGGTGAGAAACGCAATAAACAGGGTGAAAGAATAGATACAGTTGAATTCCTTGGATCGCTTGAGTTGGGCTTTGACGTGAATTTAAGTCGTGAGAGAATATCTCTACCGTGAATAGTAGCACGATTTGATCCGAATAGTAGAAAACTACTTCCTCTTCCTCTGCTTGTTCCCGGCTCTTCATCATCATGGATTTGGTCGAATCGTATGGTACGCTCTTTACTAGAGCCATTCAGACTGGGATCTTCAAAAGAAGGAACTTCTCTTTTAGCATTTATTGCAGTTGCATTAGAGCTTTTGGCATGGAAACCTAGCTTACTGGAAGCTATTTTCTCTTTCTTGTGCTTAGAGCAGTTCATCTGGATTTCACTTGTCAAAACTGGCACGTTGGAAGAGGGCTTCATCAAAATATCTCCATATTCGTGTATATTATCCAGACCTATATCTGGCAAAGCTGCATCTTGGTGGACAGTAGTCACCTCAAATGCTGTGGATGGACGCCTAATATTGGCCACCGAATTCGATGACCTCACCAACTTAACATTTGCCTCTACACTCTTTGATTCCTCGAGCAAAGATGAAGATTTTTCAAAACTGCATGGATCTGATATATCTCTATCCATTTTTATATGCATCCGGTTGCTAGAAAAGATATCTGTACAAGGTTTATCTGTTGCACTCGTTTTACTTAATACGATAGTCCACCTCGAATTGTGTAGTCTATACTTCTCAAAAAGATAATATGTGTCCTTTCTGGGGAGAAGCTAGATTACTCAGCCAGTTTGATTGGATATTTATGCTTATAATAAATGAAGAATAGGAAATATAACATGTAGAATAAATGTAAATTTGCAAAGTATATGAGATCAAGTAATTCCGTATAGTAATAAATCGGTTTAGTCGGATTCATTCCCTGCTAGAACACAAGCATAACTTTCTTCAATTATATTGTAGCTAATAGCTCTATACAAGTGGTTTTGTAAGGTACTTGAACCAAAATAGATTCTACAAAATTAATTCCAGAGTTGACAGCTCCAAAAATTAGTGATTGTGTTATAAATTTTATGATAGTCTTACATTTCAATAGGTGGCATGCTTTAATTGATCTATATCTTGCCAGAATTCTTTCGTTCTGTCTGCCAGTGCGTCTTGGGTCTTGCCATTCGGCTCTTACATTGCTCATTGGGAGAGAAGGAAAGAGTAAATTTAGGATAAAAAGGAGCACGGAGACTGGATACAGCAAATGGGGAGAAGGAATAGGAAAAAGTGCAAACAAATCCTCGATTGAATATCATTTATATATATATATATATATAGACTGTTTGTCAAGGTGTCTGATCGAGTACTGTTAGATGGGAAAAGGAATGACAGGACTAAAGGATTTGTGGTCGTCCGAAATATGCCTGCAAGGAGTAGAAACATAAGCACAATCAGGAAAATATGCAGATTATTTGAAGAGAGCAATAAGATGCGCAAGTCAAAAACATAACAAGGAGAAACATTCATAGATATGATGAAAGAGAGAATCAGAGAGGGCATGTGGATGCTCTAGTAGAAAATTCACCTCTAACCATGGAATTTCACATTATTTGATAGATTACCTTTGGGTCTATCTACCATAAAAATTTAATTTCCATCTGATTCGTCAGAATTTACTTTCCTAAATTTTTGTCACATAACATATATTCAATATTCTTCTGGAAGAACACTTATCTGTGAGTAAAAACAAAAGTTTCTAAAACAAGTATTTTGCTCAGACTTCGTTTTATAAGTTTTATAACCTTGAGTTTAAATGAAGTATTTTTGCTGCTCTTAATTTAGTAAAATTGGATCGCCCAACATTTTG